TCTCTCTCTCTCTCTCTCTCTCTCTCTCTCTCTCTCTCTCTCTCTCTCTCTCTCCTGCCTGTCTTGTTATTGGGGATACAGCCTTCCCATTAACTCTGTGGGTGCTCCTCAGCAAGTTTTCTTTCCCAAAGCCCCCAGAGCCCACACTCTACCTCTGATCTACATCCCTAACTCCCAAAGAATGGAAAAGGCTGCAGCCAACCCCCTGAAGCCTGAGTTTTGAATAAGCCAGTGAAGGGTGGCCTTGTGGCTTCTTGCCTTGTTGTATTATTTTTTTTTCCTTTTGGCTAACTTCTTTAATCTGCTACTAGATTTTTACTTATGGTTTGATAGTTCTTTTTATCACAACTAATTTGGGTTTAAGAAATTCAAAATAGCCGGGCAGCAGTGGCGCACACCTTTAATCTCAACACTCAGGAGGCAGAGCCAAGCAGATCTCTGTGAGTTCGAGGCCTGCCTGGTCTACAGAGCAAGGTCCAGGGCAGATATCAAAACTACACGGAGAAACCTTTTCTCAAAAAAGAAATTCAAAATACTTTTAAATAGTAAGGGACAACCCATCCAGATGGTAGGTGGATACGACCTCATTTGGGAAGGTACCTTGGTAGCCAGCCTCTGGAAACCTTGCCTTAGCTTGTTGTCACAGGGATGGTCCCTTGGAGTCTATCTGGGCTGAAGTCATGTTCCAGGGAAGCCAGGGTAACAGTGGCTGCGCAAGGCTGGGATGTGGCAAAAGCCGAGCAAGGGAGTGAATCAAGGATGGGTTTTGTTGTCTTCATTTCTCCCAATGGACTCTGAGAAACAGAATCCCAACAAGAGTCACAAAGTCACCCAAAGTACATATGCAAACAATGGCAGAGGCCTCCCATCCGAACATGACTCAGAATGAAGATAAAATGGGACCACCCCTACAGAGAGCCTGCGTCCAGCAACTTATCTTAGAAGAGATTTATTCTAGACATTTACTGGTCTATGGGAGAAGTGATGTGTCCACTGCATAACCTGACTCAACAAAGCAACACTCAACACATTTAACAGATGCCTGAGAAATGATGAATTGCATGAGAGTTTAAGATAACCTGGGAGCCTTTATTCATAGAAACACAGAAATACCCGCCTGGCAGTGGTGGTGCATGCTTTTAATCCCAGCACTCAGGAGGCAGAACCAGGTGGATCTCTGCGAGTTCGAGTCTAGCCTGGTCTACAGAGCTAGTCCAGAACAGGCTCCAAAGCTACAGAGAAACCCTGTCTCGAAAAACAAAACAAAACAAAAAAAAATGAAAGAAAAAAGAAGAAGAAGAAAAAAGAAAGAAAGAAACACAGAAAAGTCTCTAATATGTGCAGTGCAAAGAAGAAAAATTCCCAAAGTTTAAAACAGTACATATAATGTGCAACTTTTGTGTTAGAAAGAAAAAATTATGGGGCTGGAGAAATGGCTTAGATCTTCCAGAGGATGGGAATTCGGTTCCCAGCACCCACATCAGGAGGCTCACAACTGCCTGTAAACATCTGTCTGCAACACTAGGTCCAGGGCTTCAGAAGCCATCTACAGACTTGAGTTCCTCTTCTGGGCACCTACATACATGAAGGACACACACACATACACATAAATAAAATACAACAAAGAAGAAAGTAGGTCTATAAATAAACAGGTGCTTACAGCTGGTTGAACAAGGTGAACTAGCTCCGTATTCCACCTTCATCCCGGGAGGACACAGACAACAGTGGCCGTGACAAGATGCAGAGGTGAGGACAGGAAAAGGCAGACGATGTTTGGAACCAAATGAATCTCTCTCTCTCTCTCTCTCTCTCTCTCTCTCTCTCTCTCTCACACACACACACACACACACACACACACACACACAGCCTCACTTGTACTAGGGAAGTACTCTACCATCGAACTATAGCCCCAGTTCTATGACTTTTGGGGTTTCTTTTTTGGGGGGTTGGTAGTTTTTTGTTTTTGTTTTTTGAGTTTTTTTGTCTTCTTTTTTGATGTTTTATTTTTTTGTTTTGGGTTTTTTGAGACAAGGTTACTCTGGGTAGCTCTGGCTGTCCTTGAACTCGCTTTTCAAGCCAGCCTCGAACTCATAGAAATCGCCTGCCTCTGCCTCCCAAGTACTGGGACTAAAGGTGTGCACCACTGCCGCCCATCTCTATGGGTTTGTCTTGTTTTGTTGAGGGGGGGGGCTTTGGTTTTGTCTTTAATAAAGGGGGAAATCCTGAAGGTCACTCAGTATCTTCCTGTAAGATACATACCTCTACCCGCTCCAACTAGCTCTCCAAAGGAGAACTGGGCTAGGGTGGAGGCATCAATGAGCCTCTAGCAAATGCTTTTCCAGGTGACCCACTCTGTGGCATCTGCCCTCGACTGGGGGATCAGTGTCCCCTGCACCCCACTCACCCCTGACCAGACTCATGTCGGGCCACAGCAAGCCCTGTGGGGTTACAAGTCACAGTTCAGACACTGGGTGGCCATGACCTCGTGCTAATCCCCTTCCCAGACAGGAATTCGTGAAGCCTGGCTGATGGGGAGGGCGCTTCAGCAGTTAGGCAACAAGCCAGTGTGAGGGATATGGTTTGCCCGTGGGTGGCTTTGGAGATGGGGTCCTGTGCAGCCCCTCCTATCTGTGGTCCCACAGCTCAAGGTAGCAGGAGACAGGTTTTTCTGGGGTGACTGGGGTGACTGTGGGACTCTGAGGTTTGTACAGAGAGCTTGGACTGTTCTGGACTCTCTGACTCTGCAGTCAGTACCCCCAGGAGGAAGATAAGGGTTATAATAATAAAAATGGCAGTTGCTGCTGGGGTGCCAGGCATGGTAGATAGCACTTTATAAACACTTGCACAGCTTATCTCGATGTGCCCTTACATTACCCCAGGCACTGGGCACTAGATCAATCTCTCCTGCCTTCCACCGTTGGGGACACCAAGGCTCAGGAAA